GGAGGAAGAGGAGGAGGAAGAGAAGAAGGAGAAGACAGGAGGAAGAGAAGGAGGAAAAACAGGAGAAGGAGGAGGAGATGGGGAGGAGAGGAGGAAAAGCAGGAAAAAAGAGGAGGAGGCGGAAGAAGGCAGGAAAAAAGGAATAGGGGAAGGAGAGGAGGAGGAGAAGAAGAGGAAGGAGGGAAAAGTAAAAGGAGAGCAAGGAGGAAAAGCAGAAGGAGAAGGAGAGGAGGAGGAGGAGGAAAAAGAGAAGGAGGAGATGGGGAGGGCGAGAGGAGGAGGAGGAAGAGAAGAGAAGGAGGAAGAGGAGGAACAGAAGGAGGAGGAGCTTGGGAGAGAGGAGAAGAGGAAGGAGGAGGAGGAAAAGCCGACGGAGACGGAGAAAGATAACCATCTACTTAACAATCAGCATTCATGTAACAATCGCCACAAAAAAAAAGTCGTCAGGCGCACGGCGGTCCCGCATTACGGCAGCCACGGCGTACAGCTGCGGCGGGCAGCCTCCATCTTGGCCGTCGGGCGGGGACTGCCAGCGAGCGTGTCGGCTGACATCCCGTAACCGCCGGATGTCAAGCCGAGAGCTTAACTGACATTCTGCCCCAAACCGCACCCTGGTCTTCCTTGGATGGTGGTTTAACGGTGGCCAACGAAGGCTGCTCCTTTAGGAGGGGCTTCTACACACACACACACACACGGATAGCTCCTGGACCTGGAAACCCCCAGCGGTGGCACCAACGAAGAGGCAGACACACAACTCGTGACGTACCCACGAACACGCCAACACACGACGTCAGGGTGGGCATCGACCACGAGACCAGAGGCCACTTTCGGCGCCACGCCGGGCTTTTATTGGGAAGAAGCCGGGCAGTGCCAGCTTGTCCCATCCCATGTGCGTCTCCAGATGCTCTCCTTGGGCCTCTACAACCAGGAGGATAGAAGAACGGGACTCTCCTTGGGGCTCTACAACCAGGAGGATGCTCTCCTTGGGGCTCTACAGATGCTCTCCTTGGGGCTCTACAACCAGGAGGACAGAAGAACGTGGCGGCGATGGGACTCAATCTTTCCTCGTCCGGCGCGGAGAAGTTCCGGAAAGAAAAACGGCGAGAAGGGCTTGAGGGTCTTCAGACATCCCGGCCGAGATGTTCTCCTCAGGTCCTCCACTGGAAGGTCACCTCCAGCTGGGCTTGCCTGGCCAAGGTGACGATTTTGGAGAGGCCCACGGCGACTTTGGCCGCCTGGTCCAGGTCGTCGCAGGCCAAGATCTCCAGCTTGCTCTCGGCAATCAACACCTTGGCCTGCTCCACTTGGGTGCCCTGCAAGCGGACCACCAGCGGGACCTTCAGGTCCAGCTCGGTGGCTGCCAGGACGATCCCTCGGGCGATGGTGTCGCAGTGCATGATGCCCCCGAAGATGTTGACCAGGATCGCCTGGACCTTCTGGTCGGACGTGATCAGCTTGAAGGCCTCTTTCACCTGCTCCGCCGTCGCGCCTCCACCGACATCCAGGAAGTTGGCTGGGGCCCCGCCGTGGAGCTTGATGATGTCCATAGTAGCCATGGCCAAGCCCGCCCCGTTGACCAGACAGCCGATGTCGCCATCCAAAGCGATGTAGTTGAGCTCGGCGTTGGCCGCCTCCCGCTCCTTCTCGTCCATCTGGGTCCAGTCCTGCAGCGCGAAGACCGCCTTCTGACGGAAGGCCGAGTTGTCGTCGAAGTTGATCTTGGCGTCCATGCACATCACCGTGCCCGTAGAGTCCTCCACCAGCGGGTTGATCTCCACCAGCAGCGCGTCGTACTTGATGAAGAGGTGGTACAGCTTGACCATGTTCTCGGCGGCGGCGCAGGCCGCCTTGGCGGGAAACCCCATCTTCCGCGCCAGCCGGAGGGCCTGATCTTCCTGGATGCCCTCCGCGATGTTCACCGGCTCCTTCACGATGGCCTCCGGGTCCTGGGCGGCCACCTCTTCGATGTTGACCCCGCCTTGGGAGCTGCCGATGAGCACCGGCCCCTGGAAGGCCCTCTCCATGGTGATGGCGAAGTAGTACTCCTTCCGCAGGTATCTGCGCTCGCAAACGAGCACCCGGCGGCAGAGCTGACCCTTTGCGCCCGTCTGCTTGGTGAAGAGCTTCTTGCCGATCATCTGGGCGGCCACCTCCTTGGCCTCCTCCGGGGAGCCCACCATCTGCACGCCCCCCTTCAGGCCGCCTTCGAAGGTCCCTTTGCCCCGCCCCCCAGCCAAAACCTGGGCCTTGACCACCAGGTCCTCGGTCCCGATCTTCTCGGCGGCTTGGAAGGCCTCCTCGGGGTTCGTCGCCACCAGGGCCTTCGGCACGGAGACGCCGGCCTCCTTCAGCAGCTGCATGCTCAGGTATTCGTGGAGGGAGAGGCACCGCGGCCGCGGCGCCCAGAGTCCCGGGTGACCGACGGCGCCGAGTCCGTGTCTTTTGCCCGCCGGTCGTAGCACTCTGGCGACCCAGTGACCGAACATGGAGGAGGCGCCTCGGTCTCTTCGGTCTTCACCGGAAGCCCTCAACTGCTCGTCTTGAGTCGAAGCAGAGACCGACCTCCCAGAATTCTCTGCTCCAACTGTCGCCGGGCGGCCTGCGATTGGTCAGCTCCAGGGTTCCGGGCGCTCGGCCGGGCCAGGTCGCCAAGGGTTTCCAAGTCAGCCTCTCCACGCCCATCGGGATCCCCCAAAGGCCATCCCGACTGTCCCGTTTCAGCGGTTCGGTTCTTTTTATACCTGCGGCGGGTCCTCAAGTTGTTACGACGCGTTCGTTTAGTGACCGTTCAGAGTCCCCCACGGCCCTGAAGAAAGCGACAGAGACCCATACAGAATTACAGAATAATAGAAGGGACTTTGGAGGTCATCTAGTCCGACCCCCTGCTCAAGCGGGACACCCTGACAGAATCACAGAATGACAGAGTTGGAAGGGACCTTGGAGGTCATCTAGTCCAGCCCCCTGCTCAAGCAGCATACCCTTACAGAATGACAGTCGGAAGGGACCTCGGAGGTCATCTAGTCCAACCCCCTGCTCAAGCAGGAGACTTTACAGAATTACAGAATAATAGAAGGCACTTTGGAGGTCATCTAGTCCAACCCCCTGCTCAAGCAAGAGGCCCTTACAGAATTACATAATAACAGAGTTGGAAGGGACCTCGGAGGTCATCTAGTCCA